TTTTTATATGTATATTGTTATTAGTTGTCATATTATTTTTACATAAATATTGCTAAAAATTGTTTAATGTGCTCGCTTTGCTGTCCGCGAATGAGTTACAGGTTCTTTGGTATATTCGTGTAAGATAAGCAATAATAAAACTCTATTTTTTATTGTCACAAATACATTTATCTTATTATATGATCTTTTCTTGTTACTTTAGTACTAATCTATACAAATATCAGGAGACGCGGTAGTGTCTTCAGCCATGTTCAAAAACTGAGAGACGCTACAAGTCTCTTATCTCGAGCCACCAAAGTCCATTTTTGGGAGGTGCATAACTACTAAAATATAAAAAATTTTGAATCAAACGTTATATGCCCTGAAAGGCGACATCATCACGAGTAATTTGAAACAAAAAAATTTTAAATCGGTCAAGCCGTTCTGGAGATATAAACGGTCGAAAAATGGTGATTTTAATGAAAAATTAAGAAACGTCTCCTTCTTCTTCTTCTTCTTCTTCTTCTCTATCCACATTCAAAATTTTTCAAACCGCCATTTAAACTTTTCAACATTCTCACTCACCTTTCACTCGCACCTCCACCATCTTTGGCCCAACGAACCTTCTCCACTCGCCCCTCCCCCTCTCCCCATCACCCACTCCCGCCACCCCTCTCTTTCGCTGTATTTCACATTCTTTCGTTATTTCAATTACCCCCACCACCCGTCTCTTTCGCCGTATTTAACTCTCTATCGTTATATAATATTTTTAAATCATTTTTTTATATATTTGTGACATATTCGTACTCTGAAAAGTAAATGATATCGCAACAAAATCATATCATAAAAATGAAAAGGTCAAGCCATGTTCAAAGGATACTTAAAAATTTAAACCTTTTTATGTAATAATGATATATTACCATGAAAAGTAACTGATATATTATTAATTAAAGGTACCAGTACAAAGTGAACATTCATAAATTGTACGTAACTTTCGGCCGATTTTTGAATCGTCTCTACCTTCCGCTGCCCCCTTACCTCACCGCGCGCGGTCCAAATGCCGCACGATGCTCGAGCGACATTTGATCTGCGCGCGGTGAGGTGAGGGGGCAGCGAAAGGCAGAGACGATTCGAAAATCGGCCGATATTGTTTAATATTGTGGTATTTTATATTACCTAAAAAATAAATTAATGTACTTTGAGGCATAATGGCGCACTAATACACGGGGTATAATGGTGCACACTTGCACAGTGGTTGCCGCCGCGACGCCGTGGCGCTATTCGCCGTGACACATGATTGAGGTTAGGCGCCAGCCTTTACGTGTTTGCGTATTTTTAACTATCAAGAATTTTGTACGGATTACGAAGTGCACACGTACAGAAGTGTTATCTAGTAACATTGTATTTATAATAATGTTCTAAGTCACTTTTAAGCAATATTCAATATTAATTTTTTAAAAGTAGACAAGTTTTATGTGGTATCTCATTATACCCCGCGTAAATGACATAGTGAGATTATGACACACTTTCACAAAACAATAATTTCGTTTTGTTAACTTATACTTTTGCAGTAAAACTTAGGTTTTTCTTATAGTAAAGACTCCAAAGAAAATTTGGTAAACCTTTACAAAATGGGACCACCTTTCGATGACCTTGACCTTGACATATGTCGTCAAGGTCATGACCCTGAGTAACCTCCGACAGGTATTAGCCGTCGCTCGTCCTTCGTTAAAAAGTTATTAACAATCAAAGTTTTAAAAATAACGTCTTAATTCTGCTATATACCATCTTAAACATTATTCTACATATACATTTGACTTCCTAATCGTAAGTTAGATTAATAAATTCATGCAAATGCATTTTTAACGTTTGTAAAGCGTCTTACTTGCGTCGAGGTAATCTGACTGACTAATTGAAACATATCGATCGAAACTATTCACAACGACTGAAAAACTCAAAACAAAGATATATCAATATAACATTTTCGGAAGTTTATCTAAAAGAAGTCACAGTACACACACACACACACACGGGCGGGTGCAAGGGGGCGGCCTTGGGCCACCCCCCCCCTCCCCCCGCACCCACACCGTCACAGAGGTCTGCCCCGACAGTACAATCACAGCAATAGTACAATCGTAGAAGTCGTGTGCCCCTGTGCAGGGGGGAGGGGTGAAAGTTACTTCGCGTGGAAAGTTTAACGTTTCTGAACAGGGAAAGGTGTAGAATAGTGATTCATAAATGGTAAGAAATGTACCTCTTGTATTCATTTTGATTGCATTTATTCTTGGTCTGTTATATTGTGTGTGTGTGTGTGTGTGTCTGTGTGTGCGCGCGCGCGCGTGTGTAAAAATAGTACTTGTTATAATACATATATGGCAGAAATGATACGTTAATACGTATAATTTTCCAGAAATGATACGTTAATTTTGAAACTTTTTTTGTTATTAACTTTTTAACTTTTTAGGTCCTACGGTTAAAACTTCCTCAAGGTCACTCAGGGTCATGACCTTGACAACATATGTCAAGGTCAAGGTCATTGGGGGAAGCTCCCCTAATCTACATTTTTACCATGATTTTTTCCGATCTTTCGGTTAGCAAGTGAATTCCGTGGCGAAAGAATGATTCATTCTTGGAAGCTACTCAGTCAGAGACCCATTTCTCGACGTCTTCATAAGAACTGAAGCGTTTCTGAGTAAGTGCGTGTGCCATCGTCCGAAACAAGTGGTAGGGGCACAGTCTGGTGAATAAGCCGCATGAAGTAACACTTCTCAACGAGGTGCTTCTAATGTTTTCTTAACAGTCTTAGTGAGGTCGAGCGTTATCATGAAGCAAAATCACTTTATGCTGCCTTGTCTCATATTCTAGTCGGTTTTTACGCAATGCTCGGTTCAAACGGACTATTTTTTTCTCGGTAGAGATCCCCTGTGACAGTTGAGCAGATTCTAACAGTTTATGGTAACAGTATATTATACACTACGCTTTTCTAGTCCCACGAAATGCAGAGAATGGCCTGTTTCCCATGAATATTGCGTTTTGGTGTCGATGTCGATGTTTGGCCTGGATTGTAAATGGTTCTTAAACGTTTGGGGTTATCGAAATAGGTTCACTTTTCATTATCAGTCACAATTCGATGCAAGACCCCTTTCTTTATTGTCTAGCAAATAGAATTTCGCAGGTTTTCCGCTTTTCAATGTCTTTTAGCTTCAGTATATAAAGTGATTCGTAACGACCTCGTGTCCTTACAAAGATGTGTTCCTGACTAAATTCTGAGACGATTTTTCCTTTACGAAAATTTTATCCGACGCTTATTTTTTAAATTATTAAGTGATAAAGCTAGCGAATTACGAGTTGCGCATAGAAGTAGATTACGAACAAAGTTAAGAATCGACATGAACAGATAAAAACATAACCTGTTTGATTGTTGTCATCGAGCTCAGTCTTTACGTCAGATCACTTCGGGTAGTGTATGTAACGCGTTTCTTACAAGTGATTTAGAAATGAATAATTAACTAGTATTAATTAATAACGATAAATCAATAGAATAGTTCGTAATCGCTCCGTGTGGTATCGACAAATATCAATTAAATGCGTTAGTAAATCAGTGAAAGTGTTACAACTAGTGAAAGTGTTTTAGATACTACATATTTCTAAAAGAGAAACGAATTCCTGTTTTATTACTTGATATTAGTTTGTCATAAGGGAACGTGAAGTGTCTTCGTGTTGCTTTTCCAGTTCTTCCGATTGTGAATATTATTATTTTGTCAAGGTAAAGCAGTATAAAGACAACTAATCTCTGCAAGATAAGCGACAGAGAGAGAGAGAGGAGGGGGAGAGAGGGGGGTGGGGGGAGGGGAGGGGAGAGAGAGAGAGAGAGAGAGAGAGAGAGTGTAAAACCAAATTAAATTAAATAAAATAATAACTCATGTTCCTGATCGCAATGAGTACCCCTCGTGTTCGCTTGCGTCGGACGGTGAGTGCGCCGCCCCTGCTTACCTTCTATGCGCGGCTCGTAATTCGCTAGCTTTATCACTTAACCCTTAGCAGCACGGTGGTCAGTAATACTGACCACATATTGTTTCGTACATTTTCGAATGTACACGAGTTATCTTTTTATAGAAAATGATAAATCTTTTCATGGTACCAAGACCTTGGATAAACAAAAGAAATGACCTAAGTGTCCCATTTTAATCGACGGATCCAAATATCTCTTAAAATACGCCAGCTATAAAAAAATGTTTCAAATAAAAATGGAATGGTGTCGAGGGGGACACGTTTTAGTCACATTGTTTTTTTTCTAAGTGGAGGCGCTAAAAAGATATGAAGGTCACGTCCACTTTTTTAAATGGAATTATGTAATTTTTTTAGATAACGTGATTCCTCTAACTATTTTGCATATAAAAGTATTAAGGTAAAGATACCAAAAAACCAATAGTTTTCGAGATATTTTACACTTTATTTTGGTATATTTTGACACAAAATGTTAAATAACTCGTAAATTGTTGACTTTTTGATTATCGTACCTTTGTACTAATACTTTTGTGAACAGAATAATGAGATAAATCAAATGGTGTAAAGAAAATACTAAATGTGGCTGTTCGCACAACACCATCGGAGCCGGGATGAGTCTCTTGAACCCGACCTAGCAGCCACTGCATGGGAGCCAGGCCTGGTTGCCGTATGAGCGTTAGCTATCCGGGTTGTAGCTGCACGCCTTTGCTGATTTTCCATTTTGAGCGTTCTTGGAGCGAATGGAGGTACTCAGAGCTCCACCTCCTCCAGAAGTGTTGTCTGAGTTGGTCAACTCTTTGGCAACGCGTTAGACGATTTTCATTGATGTCGCATAAATCGCGGCAAGGGAGACTGTTTAATGCTGTTCCAACCAGAAAGTGTCCCGGACTAAGGTAACTTAAGTCGTTCGGATCGTTGCTAAGTTGCGTAAGCGGACGCGAATTCAGGACTGCCTCAATGTCAGCAAGCACTGTTTGCATTTCCTCGAAATTTAAATGAGCTTTACCTATTATTCACGCCATGTGATACTTGACTGACTTTACTGCAGCCTCCCATAAGCCTCCAAAGTGAGGCGCGTTGGGAGGTATGAACTTCCACGTGATCTCTTGCTTGCAGAAAAATTGCCCTATGTCGGCTTGAGCCTGTTGTGTTTTAAGGAAATCCTGAATTTCCTTGAGTTGATTGTGAGCTCCCACAAAAACAGTTCCGTTGTCCGAGTATAAACATGCCGGCCTACCTCTTCGCGAAATGAAACGCCGGAGCGCGCTGATAAATGCATTTGAAGTGAGATCGCTCATTAGTTCGAGGTGAACTGCTTTTGTCGAGAAGCATACAAACACGGAAATATATGCTTTAGTATTACGTGCGTTTCGCCGCCTGCCTTCCTTTAGTATGACTGGACCAGCGTAGTCCACGCCACAATGCGAGAATGGCCTTGATTCGGTGACGCGATTGGCCGGTAGAGAGCCCATTATCGCTTCCGACTGAACTGGCTTGGCTTTGAAACAAGTTACACAATTCCGAAGAATTTTGCGCGTACACGACCGGAGAGAAAGAGGCCAAAACCGTTGTCTTACGGCAGCCATGGTTGCCTGCGTTTCAGCGTACAAGTTACGCACATGTTCGTAGTTTATTACCCGCTTTGTTAGTTCATGTTCACGGGGTAACAAAATGGGGTGCTGAGCATCGAATTGTAATCTGGAATTCTTTAATCTGCCCCCTACGCGAATTAATCCTGTGTCGTCCATGTAAGGAGATAATGAAAGTATTTTGCTAGATGCACTGATAGACTTCCCCTTACTCAATGCTCCGTATTCGTTAGGGAAGGATGCCCTTTGTATAGCCTTGCATGCGACGTTGAGAACATAAGCTATTTCGTTGTGAGAAAGGAGAGTGGTTGGTAAACTTGGCCAATGTGCCTTGCGAAACCTAAGACAGTAGGCTAGAACTCGACATATCCTAGTGAGACTTGAGAATTTACTGACCAATTCGTCCACCACCGATCGTTCGAGAGAAACGGCAGTTACCGTGATTTTCTGCATCTCCGGCATGCCACTTTCAGACTGAGTAAATTTGCCGCTTGGCCAGTTATCCTGGTGTGACCGTAAAAATTCTGGGCCTTGCCACTACAGGGAAGAATTCGTTAATTCTTGAGGGGTGAGTCCACGCGATAATGCGTCAGCGGGGTTGTCAGAAGACTGAATGTGTCTCCAACTTTCTATTTTTGTGAGGCGTTGAATTTCGCCGCCCGGTTTAGCTACGAAAGCCGTCCATTTTCGAGAAGGCGAGGATAGCCAATTGAGAGCTATTGTAGAGTCTGATCACAGAAAGATGTTTATGTGCGACAAGTCGAATGAGCTTCTCACCTTTTCTAAAAGCTGCGACAGCAGTAATGCTGCAGATAATTCTAACCTAGGTAACGAAATGGCCTTGAGCGGCGCAACGCGCGATCGAGAGCAAAGTAACTCCACGCGATAGCTATTGGTGGTTTCAGTTCGCAGGTATATGCATGCGCCATACGCTCGTTGGCTGGCGTCGCAAAACCCATGTACCTGGACAAGTCGAGGATCCGCTGTGAACTTGACGCAGCGTGGAACTCGTAGTTCATTCAGCTCCACTAGTTGCGATCGAAGTTTCATCCAACGTGACTGTATGTCCTGAGAGACTGATTCGTCCCACTGATGACCTGCCTGTCATAATTCCTGGATGATAATTTTCGCGACGACAATAACAGGTCTGAGCAGTCCTAGTGGGTCATATAACCTGGCGGTTTCTGAAAGTATTACACGTTTCGATATGGAGGAATAGTCTACATTGTCCTCATGAAAGAAACATAATTCGTCATTGTTTTGATCCCAGTGGATCCCGAGGACGCGTGAGAGAGCACTATCACCGATAGGCACTAGGTTTCTAGAATGACCCTCCGCGCCCGGCAAAAGCTGCGAGCAATTTGATGCCCATTTACTGAGTTTGAACGAGCTTAACTGGAGTAACTGAGTAGTTTCTCGTATTACTGATTCTGCATCCGTGATCGTATCCGCTCCTGTGAGCAGATCGTCGACGTAAAAATCACGTTCCACGCATTTCGACCCTACTGGAAATTCTGATGCGTACTGTTCCGCTAGATATTTGAGGCATCTCGTTGCGAGATATGACGCCGAAGACGTACCGTACATGACCGTCGTTAATTCGTATGTCGTGACATCAGACTGGACGTCGGTTCGCCATAGAATTTTTTGCAACCTTGTTTGCGACGGGTCTACCAGAATTTGTCTGTACATCTTGATTATATCAGCCGAAACGGCGTATCGATGCGTACGAAAACGTAACAGGATTGACATTAAATCCTGCTGTACGACAGGCCCTACTGTGAGAGCGTCGTTGAGCGAGACGCCTGTGCTGCTCTTGCACGACGCGTCGAAGACCACGCGAATTTTCGAATTCTTGTCTGCAGTCTTAAACACACAGTGGTGTGGTAAGTAGAACGATGTTGAATCCTCGTCTGATTCAATGTTCGCGACTTTCATGTGCCCTAGAGATGCGTATTCATTCATGAACTCTACGTACTGTGCTTTGAGATTGGGAGCGCGTTGGAAACGCCTTTCCATGCCTTGCAAACGTTTTAACGCGGTATCCCTTGAATCGCCGATCTTAGCGATCAGCTGCTCCTTCAGTGGGAGTTTTACTATAAATCTACCGGTTTGATCACGAGAAACGTTATCCAAGAAATGTTGCTCACAATGAGCTTCGACTAGAGTGTGGTTACTGACATCGTTGTACGAATTTTCTTGTTGCCAGAACCGACTCAGCTGATCGTGCAACTGCGCGTTAGTAATGGTGGTATGCAGAGAACGTATCCTCCGCGGGGCCGAAGAAGAGAGGCCGATTCGACCGGCTACAATCCACCCTAAGCGAGTCTTTTGGAGCGTTGGGTGCCTCGGCGATGATTGCACCTGTCCCACGCATAATAGTTCCCAAAAAATGTCAGCGCCTAGTAGGATGTCGACAGTTGACGATTTGAAGAAATGCGGGTCTGCCAATTTTAGATTGCCGGGAATGTTGATCTTATTCCGATCGATAGTAAGAGCAGGAAGTCTGTCCGTTATTTGCTCCGTCACTATACAATCAATGACAGCCGAGTAGGAATTCAACCGAGATTGGAATTTCAGGCGGACGATCTGAGTAGATGCACTGATTGTCCCGTTTATACCTGAAATAGATATGCTAGTTGACTGTGGTTTTAAGCCGAGTTCAAGCAAACACTTTTTAGAAATGAAATTAGCCTGCGAGCCGCAATCGAGTAAGGCTCGGCAAGCGATGCGCCTCCCCCCGCCATCATGAACGTGGATGACAGCTGTGGAGAGCACGACGCATTGATCTTCCGGAGAATTATGCGCATGCATGACTAGAGCCGTTGGAGACAATGCTGATGCCTCCTCTTGGCGTTTTTCTTGCTCGTGCTCCTGCACATTCGTCGCGTGCAGAAGCGTATTGTGCTTACCTTTGCATGTTCTGCAAGTGCCTGATGGGCATTGGCTAGCTTTATGCTCGGTGGAACGCAAACAATTGATGCAAATCTTGCGCTTGCGAATTTCGGAATTTCTACTGGACACTGAGAGTGCTAGAAAATCTTTACATTTGTAGATAGAATGACTACCCTGGCAAAAACTGCATTTGAAATTAAGTGTTGCTGCGCATGCAGTCTGACGTTTTGCTTGTGATGCTAATTTCGCGTTATTAGGCTTACTTGACGCGTTAGCGGATTTACTTGTGGCCTCGAGAACTTGGCAGCGATGATTCACGAAGTCGAGAAATTACTGTAAATTGGGAAGCTCTGTACCGGTCAACGATGTTTGCCACTCTCGCAAAGTGACCGCGTCGAGTTTAGCGCTTAGGATGTGCACGAGCAGGTCATCCCAATGAGATGTCGGACGTTTCAAAGCTTGAAGAGCGCGTATGTGCTTGGACGCGCCGTCCGCGATTTGTCTCAGCTCGCTCGAATTTTCCTTGACCGAACATGGAAGCTCCATGATTGCTTTGATGTGCGTATGCACGATTACTCGTTTGTTGTCGTACCGATCTCGCAACAATTTCCATGCTACTTCATAATTGAGATCGGAAATCTCCAGCGAGCTTATGACGCAGCCGCTTCGCCTGATAGGGAAATTCGCAAGTACTGGAGTCTCTGGACATTACTAATTGACATGTTCGAATGTATGATAGAATTGAATGCGTCATAGAAAGGGAACCATTCGTCGTACTTGCCGCTAAAAGTCGGAAGATTGAGCTTAGGTAACCTCACGTGCATCGCGGACTCTCGTGTGTCTGATACATTCGAAGGTGATGGATTGACGACGCCTCGATTCGAATGAGTTGGCGCGAATAACAATTCTCGGATTTTTGCCGATAATGCAAAATACGCGTCCTCGAAAGAGGCACGATCGCCCTCCTCGTCCTCGACAAGCATTTCTAACCGCGATTGAACGTTACAATATTCTAGCCAGTAATGATCCAATTTTGATTTTCGCTCTTCGAGCTGTGCCGTTACTGACAGCGTGACGGAAGTAATAGAATTCGCGTATGTTTTTATTCGCGTGCATGAAGCACTTTGATAACGGCACGTTGCCTCTTGAGAATGGTTATATCTTCCTGAGACATCTTTATTCGACACACAAAAATCTAGTGATAAAACGACACTTCTGGTTGGCAGCCGATCGCGACAGTCACCCTTACCTGTGGTATGACAAGAATTTCGGAAGACTATGAAAACGTCACGTGGTGCCGTGCCCTCGCCTTTCTTCCGGCGTTGTTGAAGGACCGAAGCTCGTCCTGGAAGATGCTGGTTGGCTCGCTGTTGACAATGGCGATCGCCCGCGCGATCGTGCGCCTTGATGCGCTGTCCGAAGAGCCGATGACGATGTTGCGGCTGCTGTCTGGCACGCCGCCGTCCTTGAAGTCGACCGTGCGCGTGGTCGTGCGCCTTGGTGCGCTCGTCGAAGTCGACGCTAGAGATGCGGCTGCTTGGCACGCCGCCTTGATATTGACCGTGCGCGTGCTTGTGCGCGCGGTCGTGCGCCTCGATGCGCTTGTCGAAGCCGACGTCGGTGATGCGGATGCTTGGCACGTCGCCTTGATGCTGGCCGTGCGCGTGCTTGTGCGCGCGGTCGTGCGCCTTGGTGCGCTGTCGAAACCGACGCCGATGGTTTCATTTACCGGTGATCCGATTGTATGCTTCGGACACCTCGCCAATAATGCCACGTGAGTGCCGGGAAAACCTGATGTCGGTTATCGTGTGCCTCGTAAACCGAATGGTGATCCAAGATGGCTGGATCCGGCTCGAAGGACCAAAGGATGTGTGTTAGCGCGATGCTGAGATGCACGCTTTTCCACGCGGTGACACGCGGCGGTAATTATCTCGCGTTCGGGCGTGGTCGGGAACAAAAGTAGCTGTATTCCCTTGCTTGCTTAATTCTTTATTGATACGGTTCACTTGCTTAGTACACACGCGGCTATCGTACACGCGACTGGCTGGACGGTTGATCGTAGAGAACAAGGAAGAATTAATACGCTAACAACGCCGATTAGGGATGCAAGCGCCGCGGTGGCTAGAGCGCGCACTACTAAGCCGATCACCGCTCGAAAGCGGCGCGAGTAATAATGGCGCGAGTATGTCGGCGGACACGCAGGAGAAATATTGTACCTAACAGCATGTTTTATTAGAAGGAGCACTATGACCATAAACTTCTACAAGCATTCGATGAGCTTCAGCTACAATTTTCTTCCATTTGAATCAAAAGATTAACACACGCAAAACGTTCATTTGGCTCAAATTTCGATGCAGTAAAAAACAATGTTATTGATACAAAAGTTTATTTTTATATACTTTTATGTATTGGAATAGGTGGGTAATTGTAAAGAAGAAGACTATGTTAATTAACGTATATTTTAGATTGCTTTTATTGTACGGAAACGGACAAAGAACCAGTGACGGACAGACACACTGGCGACAGACGGGGAGAACAACCGTGTCGGTAACGTAACTACCGCTGTTGGTAAAATTGCATACATAATATTCTTCCCCCTTTTTTTTTTATAGTGCTTAGAGTACATGAGTTCTAAGGCAGTTAACTCGGTGAATAACGAAGTGGAGGGTGGCGATGTCTTGTAGATCTCCGTAATATTGGAGGTGCTTGTATTTGATGTGGTGGAGACCCTTGCGAAGACGGAGTTGAGGGTGGTGTATAATAATACTCCTCTGGAGTAGACGGACTCGGTGGTGAAGGTGGTCCTCGTGGTGACAGTGGTACCTGTAACTTAGCTTGGGGAATGATTGCAATATCGTTATCATAAAAATGAACTCTACGAGGCTTATCCTTCTCTTTTGGCCTTGTGCCATTAGGCTGGTCCTCAGTTTTTTTCTCACTAAAGGCGCGAATGTGATCCACATGCCTTTTGAAGCGTCTGCCCTCATAGTCTATTTCGTAATGTAGATCGCCCAATCGTGAGACAATCCTACCTTTAACCCATTTATCCAGACGAGGGTTACTTGACAGGAAATAGACCGTTTGCTTGGGCTGGAACTCTCGGAACGACAGATTAAGCGTGACTTGCCGTTTCTCCGTGTTATTCATATGTAAGTTATCTGGTCGTACTAAATCTATCCTAGTACGTATGTTGCGTCCAAGGAATAATTGCGCAGGCGACTGGCCTGTTGTTACATGCGGAGCTTTCCTATACTGTTGGAGGAACTGATTAAGATTGGATTGTAATGATCCAGGTGTTGTGCCCATAGTAGCTAGTGCATTCTTGACCGTCTGGACATAACGTTCGGTTTGACCATTCGTTGCCGGATGGTACAGTGCTATGCGTTTGTGATACTTAACTCCGCTTGACTGTAAGAAAGTCTTAAATTCCTCGGCCGTAAACTGAGTTCCATTGTCTGATACTATTGTAGTGGGAACTCCATATGATGCGAAGATGTTGTCCAGCATTGCAATTGTTGCGGTTGTTGTAGTTGTGTGGGTTACTCTCACCTCCACCCACTTGCTATAAGCGTCAACGACAATTAGGAGCATGGCACCTGCGACTGGTCCTGCGTAATCTATATGTATCCTTTCCCATGGTCCTTTTGGATATTCCCAGTGATGATCTTTACACTTGGGTGGCAAATGTGCGTGCTTGGCGCAGTCGGTACAGGATTTAGCGACTTGTTCGATGTCCGCGTTAATACGGGGCCAAAAAACGAAAGAGCGAGCAATGCCCTTCATTTTGATTATACCTATATGAGATGAATGCAGGTCATTAAGAATGGCTTCCCGAAGAGAAGTTGGAATGACGACTCGGTGTTCAAATAATAAGCAGTCAGCTGCTAGTGTATACTCAGACTCTGGGGCTTTATAGCCAGCACGGGCTAAGTTTTTTCCTGCCTCTAATAATTGAACAATCTTGCCTAACTCTGGATCCTTCCGCGTTTCTTTACCAATATACTCTGCGCGTACTGGCAGTTGATTGATTTGACACAATGCAAATTCGTTAAATTAGTCATGACTCACTATCTCTTCCTCATTCATAATCTTATGAACCGTGTTTGTTGTAGTTGGCAATGGCATGCGAGAATAATAATCGGCGTTAGCGTTGGATTTTGTCGGTTTGAATTAAACATTAAAATTAAAATGTGAGAGATAGTCCGCGTAATTTGCCATTCGACTAATGCACAATGTAGGTAAGGATTTCTCTGGATGCAGAATTTGTGATAGGGGCTTATTATCGACATATAAAGTGAATTGACGCGCGTACACATAATAGAAAAATTTTTGTATGGCCCATACTACTGCTAGTGCTTCTTTATCTATTTGCGGATACCGCTGCTCCGTAGGCGTCAATGTGCGACTAGCATACGCTATTGGACGTTCGTGTCCTTCTCTAAGTCGATGCGATAGTACGGCACCCAGTCCTACCTTACTTGCATCCGTTGCCAGGACTAACGGAAGAGACGGATCATATGGCATCAGAACCTGAGGAGAGATCAGTAAATTCTTGATGTCGTCATAAGCTTCCTTAGCGGCTGTTGTCCACTCAAAAGGTTCTGTCAGAAGCATATTTCTTAATGGTCGGCTGTTCGTTGCGAAGTCTGGAATAAAGGAATTGTAATACGTTGCCTTGTCCAGGAACAACTGTAATTCTTCTTTAGTAGACGGCTTCGGTGCATCTCTAAGCGCCTCAATATGTTTATCTGATTTGTGGATTCCGTGGGAGTCGATTTTATGACCCAAGAATTCGACTGCTGTAGAAGCGAAGACGCATTTAGTGCGGTTGAGACGAAGTCCCTGTGATTGAAGACGTTCCAATGTCTTATCCAGGATTATCATTAAGTTATCAAATCCATCTGCGAATAGCAGTATATCGTCGAAGAAATTTAATACATTGGGTAGGTCCCGAAGAACAGTTTCCATGCGACGTTGCCATATCGCTGGTATGTTCGCTGCACCGTAGACTGCGCGCTTGGGGCGAATTAATCCGTGAGTTGGTGTATTTAATGTCAGTGCGTGTGCGAATTTTTCATCTACTGGTAAGTGCGTATAGGCATCCGTAATGTCTAAATGGCAGAAGAGGTTAGCGTTTTTCATTTTATTAAATAAGTGCTCAGGTTTTGGAATGGGATGTTCGTCGATCACAATGCATTGGTTGAGAGTCGGTTTATAATTGCCCGTGATGCGTATTTTCCCGTTTTTCTTGGTCACAATGTGTGTTGTGGAAGCCCATTCTGAAAATTCTACTCTCTCGTAAAATCCTGATGCAAGCTTGGCCTCGATCTCCTTAGCATATTCATCGCGAAGAGCTAAAGGTACTTCACGTGCGCGGGAAAAAATTGGTGTAGCTCCAGGTTTAAAGTGTACTGAAACTGGAGAGCCTGTTAGTTTGCCTGGAGTGTTGCTAAAAATGTTCTCATAGCGAGCCAAAAGGTGTTCGAGTTGTTTATTCTGTTCCGTGAATAACGATGGTGGCTCAGTGCTTAGTGAATGGATTGTGTTTGAAGCCGAAAATAGTTTGTTAAGATTAATTTCTTCAGTGAATTCTGCTATCCATTCTCGTCCTAAAAGAGTGTCGAAAGGCTCTTTAACAACGTACAGTTTAAGTTTACGCGAAGTTGTACCCAGTGAGACGTTGACTGGTAGATATCCCATGCATTCGATGTGATGACCCGTATAACTGGCAAACTTCCGATCCGTAGAGCATAGCTTGAAATCAGGTTTAATTAAGCGCAATATATTTTCATTAACAATGCTGCATGGTGCTCCTGTATCCAGTTCCATCGCCAATTCATGACCGTCGATCTTGACCATAATCATTTGCTTGTTCAAAACTTTAGTTGCATGAATTTCTTCGATTTTACTAAATTGTTGAATCGTATCGACATGTTCTGCTGGAAGAGCCGTTGTAGTTGCCTGATTTGCGTCTTGTACCGCTTGAATAGTTTTACCAGATCTGCATACTTTAGCAATGTGCCCAACTTTGCTGCACTTATGACACACCGATTTCCGAAAGGGGCATGAAACTCGTCTGTGTCGCTCTCCACATCCTTGACATGGATGCGGATTGTTACCATCTCGAGCGTTAGCAGATTGATTCCGATGTAGGCTTTTACTACGTGAGCGTGACCTGTAACGCGAGAATTGTTTATTATATTTAGTTTTCACCGGTGCCTGCTTAACTTTATGCGTTTTTTCCACTGTTTCTGAAGTCTCGGCCGTTTTAACCTCGTTAGATGTAGATCGCGTTGCTTCGAGTGTATTAGCAATTTCGTATGCTTGCGTAAACGTTGTTGGTTTCTTTGCGATAATTTCATCGCACATTTCGCGCGAGTCGAGTCCATGTAGTAGTTGCTCTATAAGCATCCGATCTAAAAATTCGCCATATTCGCAGTGAGCAGCACCTTGTTTAAGACGTAATGTGAAATTTGCGACGCTCTCCTTCTTTTGCTGCACAATAAGACGAAATTTAATGCTTTCGGCATATTTATTTCTAGTACGATCGAAATGATTTACAAGTACCGAACGTATTTCGTTATAAGGTAATTCCTCTGGTTGTCGCGGAGAGACTAAGAATTTAAGTGCGTTGTTTAATTCGGTACCCATATGAACGCGAGCATAATTGGCATGCAATTCTTCTGGAATTCTACTTAGCTGTAATGCCCAGTCGAATCGTTGAAAGTAGTCCTCTACTGCTGTATTGTCGGATGAGCGATATTCCGCCATCGAGAATGCCGGTGGCTTCGGTTCTGCCGTTATAAAGGAATTTGGCTGATTCGTCGTGGTACTAGTAGCTGCATTAGCTGCCGACGTTTGTAATGCGTTAGTAAGCATATTTGTAAATGCTTGGATAAACTCAGGCGAAACTTCCATTTTGTAACCTCAATTGTGCCTGTATTCTTGCGAGTTGAATATCTTTGTGTGAAACGATTAGTTTTCCTCTCGAAAAAGATCTGTGTGTAGCAATTTTTGTACACTTCTGACACCACTTTTATGTATTGGAATAGGTGGGTAATTGTAGAGAAGAAGACTATGTTAATTAACGTATATTTTAGATTGCTTTTATTGTACGGAAACGGACAAAGAACCAGTGACGGACAGACACACTGGCGACAGACGGGGAGAACAACCGTGTCGGTAACGTAACTACCGCTGTTGGTAAAATTGCATACATAATATATACTGAATTTTATTGACAGATGGTAAAACTAAAAAGTTGATTTAGACATTAGAGTTATCGATAATTCCAGCTATAGATATTGGCCGCTAGATGGACGGAATTTTCCAATTGATCTAATACATTCTAATAGAACATTTTGAGATGAATACAGTGACCTATAATCTATAATTGAAGATTATTCAAGGTTATGCAAGGTCAATAATGGAAAATAATTGAATGGAAAATAAACTATTTTAAGACACTCTTTAAATAATTTCGTGTTTTCTCTGTTTGTTGTTATATCGCTAATCGTTCAACAGTATGTAAATAAACATTAGATCGCACATAGCATTATTTATATTTAATGATCAGTTTGAACTTATCTATCGATCAAAGTGCGCGTTTTGAGAAATGCTTTATACGAAAACGAAAAAAATTGATAAGAATTCATCTGTGGTGATCTATATATGTATTTCCCAAGACACGCATTTCGATCGACACATAAATTTAAACAGATCAGTAAATATAGATAATGTTACGTACGTTTCAACGTTTATTTAAATATCGTGATACACTTGAACGATTAGCGGTATACTAACAAGCAAGGAAGATACGAAATTATTCGAAGAGTGCCTTAAAACAATTTATTTTCCATTCAATTATTTTTCATTATTGATCTTGCGTAACCTTGAATGAACTTCAATTATAGGTCACTGTATTCGTTTTAAATTGCTCTATCAGAATGTAAATAAAAATATATCATTCCATTAAAAAAAAAACAGATTTAACCTTTACCTATCCTTTACGCCTCCACCTTCAAAATAATTATTAACATCACATAATGTGACCTTGAAACAAAGCAACTTTTGTTTAATACTTTTCCTTCTATTGTTAAAAACAAGCGAATTATTCAGATGACCTGTTTTAAATGCCTCACCCTTTTTTTTAAATAATCTTTAATAATCTATATATAATAATAAAAATATAATATATAATAAAAAAAGATTGTTAATAATCTTTAAAATTTATAGTAGTATTTCCATTGTTTCTTTATTTCATCTAAAAAAATTTGAACCATATGTATATTTTATTTAGATCAATCTGTGTTAGGTGGTATATGTTGGTCATCTATCAGTAACGGCCGTTGTAAGGAACTATTATCGCAAAGTATCACGAGAGAAAATTGTTGCGCATCTAATGCAGCAGCAGCGACTGCATATTCTGATGAGGATCTGGATAGTGGGAGTCTTTTCTTCTGGAGAGTTCTTGGTGGAGGTGTGCAATGTCGTCCTTGTCGAGGTATATAAATATAAGTCATTACTTTTCATGATAATCGAGCAATAATAATCTAAAACTAATTTTATTCTCATTTGTGGTTTTATCTAATAGCGAATTCGGTCGACTTACACTATACTGAATTCGTGTTCCACTAAACTATACGAATGCAACACTAAGCCGCACCAATACTAACACTGAATTCGACTGAATTCGTGTTGCACTAAATTAACGAGTGCAACACTAGACCGTGCCAGTACTAACTTTTCTCAGTGCAACACCAGTGCGACACTGTCGTGATCCAAGAATACTAGATCCAAGAATTCAACACTGGTCTAGTTTCCACCGTAGCATTAATTCGCACCTAATGTGGCTTAGAACCAAATTAAACTCGATGGAAAAACGTTTGACTCTGCTCATTTCACTTCCACTTCGATCCACAACTTCTACCAGAGTGGCAGCAAATTGACATTAAATTTTAGTCGGTGGAAACGACTGAAATAGATTAAAAGTAAATATCGCCAACCTTTCCATTATTTGTTAATAGGTTAAGAGTATAAGCCGTTCAAAAATGGATAATAAGCGTGATATTTGGTCATACAATGAAACTTTAACATTAATTCACTTCAATTCTACTTCCAATGGAAACAGTACACCAAGTTTGATCTATACCGTAGTGGAATCGAATTGAGGGTTTCGGTGGAAACTAGGTCACTGTGACCGTACAGGTAGAATCCCACTAGTGGCAAGCTTTTAGCAAAAATCTAGAATGCCGCTAATGGTAGTGGTGGGGGTAGAGAGACGAGTAGAGTGAGAAGCAGAAATAATATGATCGTTCTTTCTCTGTTTACTAAAGCCTGATTGGTTGTTGTATCCAACATTGGTTGTTATTCACTCTACTCGTCTTTCTACCCCCACCACTACCATCAGCAGCGGTCCATTCTAGACATGGTGGAAGTATACATGGTGTGCTCAGAACTCGTAAACCACGCCCCTTTTCAACGCGGTTGTCACCGAAAAACATAGGGCGGCCAACTTAGAAAGGTTGGCAATACTGAACTAGTAGTGTCTCTTTTATGCATGCGCCGTGGAGCATCTATCTCAGTCTGTCTTTAGCCATCTCCTGAAAGAAACGTGCAGGCCTGTTATTTTGAAATTAAAGTGAAAATTTGAAGTAAAATGGTGCGGTGTATTGTTAAAGCGTGTAAGAACACCAACATAACGTGTACTCCGGAGGAAGTAAGCTTCCACAAGTTGCCGAATAATGCCATTATGTGTGAAGGGTGGCTTAAAAACATAGGAAGTGTAATTCCATCCAATACTCTAAATGGCAAGTGTTGATAATAGTAATATTTAATAACTTTAAGTCAAATTTATGTCCATGTTTATTTTTACTTCGATTTTGTTGAAACATTATAATATTGTCTTCTTCTGCTACTTTTTCTGAGACTCCAAAAATATACATTTTACTCGTATGCATACATGCACATTGAGTAAAATTGATATAGACAATTTATGTAAAATCTGTAAAGTGTTTTTCTTAATAATGTCTATTACTTATATTAAATTAACTACTAAAACTATCTGAAGCAAACTATCTACAGCTAGTGTCGAAGAAGACACCGATTCATGCTGCAATGCACATGTAAGCTTAATTTATAAGCTTAGCTTATAATGATGAATATACACATGTGAATATAAGGCCTGTTCTTTTTACCGAACTGGTACACAGAGTGCAATAAGTTGAAGTGAAACAGATATACGTTTGTTTCATTTCAACTTATTGCACTGTATGTACCAGTTCAGACAGTGCAGGCAAAAAGAACAGGCCTATATACATACTTTAATTACAATTATTAGATATTAAAGTAGAGATGTCAATGTTTATATGCATTGTGTGTCTGTGTGTATACATGTGCTGCTTCCTAGTGTGATTTGCAACATAACAGCGCGAAATACCCACTATTCTAGGAATATTTTTTGTGGTGGCAGGCCTATGTTTTTCGGCGACAAGAAAAGAGAGATTTTAGAATGAGACAACGCAAAACTAAGCACACCATGTATACTTCCACCATGATTCTAGATGTCGATGGTTACCGGACAATATCCATAAAAAATAACGGACGAATGTTGACATTTTTCGAAGATTCCTAGGATCCATAAATTTATTTCTGAAAGTTGTTACCAATGTTGTATGTTAAAAGTATAAAAGGTGCAATTGTCGTATATGGTAAGTGTCAAAATATGAAAAGTGGTTATGTGCATGTGGAAACGTAAAAAACGAAGGTAATTCATATTTTTGAATCAGTCATAATTGTCAAAGTAAAAATTTTATAATTATAGTTTAAATGTAAAGAGGCCAATTAATCATATCCGCTTCTTAGTTCTACAATAATATTAATTTAAATCATACTAATATTAATATTAATATAAAAATAATATTAATTCCAACTGGTTAACTCAGTATTAAAATATCAAAACAATCAATTAGAAAATTCTTACCCAAAATTTGTCTCGAGATCTTTCCGTGATCCATATTTTCTTAATTCTTTCATTTTATTATTAATTACAGTCATTGAAAAGGTTCGCTATTCGAATAAGAAATTGTAAAAAAATGTGAAATCATAAAAGAAAAATTATTTTAGCACTAAAAAAGAAGCTGATATAATTAATTAGTTTATTTACATTTAAATTATAATTATAAAATTTTTACTCTGACAGTTTATAACTGATTTAAAAATATCAATTACTTTCGTTTTACGTTTCTACATGCACATAACCACTTTTCATATTTTGACACCTGTACGATGATTGCACCTCTCATACTTTTAATGCGCAACATTGTTAACAACTTTTTGAAATAAATTTATGATTCCTAAGGATCTTCAAGAAATGCCAACATTCGTCCGCCATTTTTTATGGATTTTGTTCGGTAATCTCTGATTTCTCATATTAATTTTTTAATTTTAAATATGTATCTCGTTGCAAACAAAAATTTTTCTGTAACTAAATTATATTGTGTATATACAATTATAGTAGAAATATTAAATCATCTCTGTTATATATATATATATATATATATACATATAGTACGATTATATACATACAGATATATCATAAAAATTCTTATTGTTATATAAATTTACTTAATTCTTTATCCGAATACTCATAAATGAGTATTTATAACATCTATGAAATATTTTATTTTTGGTTCTTTTTCTTTTACAAAAGTAACAATAAAATTTGCTACCTTATTGTCAGTACTGCTACTTTCTAATATTTTGATTAGAAACTTCAATCAGACCGCGATTACCCAGTAGTTAGCAAACTGCACTGTCGAAATTGGCAGTGCAAGAAATTTTGCACTCGTTCAGTTTCTTTATCTATTCGAATATAAAATCAGTACTACACTAATGTAATATGACGCTAGTATTCGGACACAGCATATGATGTGTACCATAATAGTGCAATATTACCGAATTCGGCGAGTGCAGTGCACCAAACAGGGGCCATCGATCAAATACGATGCATTGGAAAAATTTACACACAGTGTATGTACACTAGTGCATGCAACCGAATTCGCTATAAGATACTACATTTTTTCTTTCTGCGTACGTGCGCGCGCGCGCGCGTGTGTGTGTGTAATGTGCATAATTTCAGTTAGTTTAAGAAAGAAAGCAAAAGTTTTTTATTGAATCTATTATTTCTGTGCACTTAACTAGTAACAATCACATTATATGTGCATAGAAAAGAATCGTTTTTATTCGATAGAAAGTTGCGCGGAAGTGAGGTGTGAAGAAGGAAAAAAGTGCGTGGTACGAAGAGGAAGACCGAGGTGCGTGTGTAGTCCAGAGTGTAAAGCACCGCGTGATAGTGGGCCGGTCTGTGGAACGGATGGTAAGAGTTACAAAAGCTATTGCAGACTCAAAAAACGAGCTTGCAAGAAAAGCAGTTACGAACTCGCGGTTGCCTACAACGGCTATTGTCAAAGTAAGTATGTAAATAATATAATATGTATAAATAAATTGATTGTCTCTGTATTGTTGTAGTAAATTTTGCTTCTCTTTCTTAAAATTATCAAATATTTCACGATATTATTGGTTGGCATTATTCCTTTCGCAAAAATGACGATTATGTTAATCAAATGTATTAGCAGGGAATGGAAGTAACTCGTTATTTATATGTTTGTTAAGCTAGCCCCCCCCCACAAAAAATCAAAACGGCACCTATGCCAGAATTAAGTGCTGTTTATGTGCTAATTATGTGCTCTAATGCCAATTTTTGTGCTCGAACGGTTTAGCGGAAAATCGCAATTAAAGGTGGGGGTGCTAGCTTAACACTAAGTTAGCACCTCCCCTATTAAATCATACACTGAATTAAAAAATAGTATAGTAAAATTATGTGCTTTTTATGTGCTTCCAATATCATCAATCAAAATTATTGTAACAGTAACGGTTTCAGAGATACACGTATATATCTATAAACTTCGATACATATTATAACAACGGTGTAAGAGTAAAGTGCCAGTTAGAGTGCAGACAGCGAATTGGTTTTAGTCTCAAATTGTTCCTCCATTTATGTGCTTTCAAAATATGTATAACGAGATTTTTATGCTCACCCCTTTGTACCGAAAAATCATCCCATAAGTTAGTACCCACCGTCTCTTTACAAGAATAAAGTGCCAGTTAAGTGCAGACAGCGAATTGATTTTGAATGAAAATAATTGAAAATTTAACAAAAATCATTATTAACTAATATCTAATAATTAATTCCTAATTTCAATAATTTATCGATGAAAACCATGTACTTTAAAGTTATTAAATAACAATAACCAAAAGACAAGTTCGATGAAAATAAAATTGGCTTAGATATATTTTTGAACTTGACATGGTAAAACTGCAGAAAAGGGGAGCCACCCCCGATGACCTTGACCTTGGCATATGTTGTCAAGGTCATGACCCTGAGTAACCTCCCGCAGGTTTTAGATGGCGGTCGCTGTGCGTTAAAAAGTTATTAACAAAAAAAGTTTCAAAATTAACGTATCACTATACATGTATGATAATAATTACTATTCTAATTGCTATACATGTATGATATTAAATACTATTCTACATCTTTCCCTGTTCAGAAACGTTGAACTTTTTACGCGAAATAACTCTCACCTCCCCCACCCCCCCGCAAAGGGGCACACGCTTCTATGATTGTACTGTTGCTCTGATTATACTGTTGGGGGAGATCTCTGCCGATGAGATGGGTGCGGGAGGGAAGGCCGAAGGTCACCCCCTTGCACCCCCCGTGTGTGTAAAACATCAAGTATAGACTCATAATCATTATATATCAAATAGAACACACACACACACACGGGGGGGGGGGGAGGTGCAAGGGAGGGGCCGAAGGCACCCCTTTCCGCATCAACTCCATCGGCAAAGGTCTCCCCCAACAGTATATTCATAGCAATAGTCCAATAATAGAAGTCGTGCTAACTTATGGGGTGAATTTTCGGTACTAGGGGGTAAGCACAAAAATCTCGTGCATATTTTGAAAGCATATAAATGGTGGAACAATTTGAGACTAAAACCAATTCGCTGTCTGCACTCTAACTGACTCGATCCATATTTATAATGATTTACTGACAGTAAGATGAATTCGTTTTCGTAGATTTCAGTGTACTATAATCTAGCACATTTTCTAGATGGAATTTTATATTTTTTGTCTGTAACCCCCTCTTTTCAGAGTAGAGTATTATGCGCACATTTTTTTAAAAGTATGCTTAAAACGCTCTAACCCCATAAAATTTAAAAATAATACAATTCTGTCGAGTTTTACTTACTGTACGTATCATATTTCTAATTTTACTTTAGGAATGCTTCAAAATTATATATTCATTTCTATCGACCAATTTTTACATATTTTCCTTAGACATATTTTTTGCTCTCATAAAAAATAAAAAATACAATTCTGTCGAGTTTCACTTACATTTGCGCATTTACTTACCTAATAAATGTTTCTAGAAAAAAATTACATTACACCATATGTCAGCTGAAAAAACAGTTGGTGCATATACCCTTTGTAACACTTTTCGTTTATAATCATTTGTTTTTTCTATATTTATTGTTTATGGTGATATTCCCTATTTTTTGTGATTTTTTTGTCTTGTACGTGATTGCAGTCCCAATATCTGTGGCATCTTACTGTCATTCCCGTACGACGCCATACCCCCACCTCCGAAGAATCCCCCGCGTCTCGCATTCCTCTTGGGGTGTATTCTACATAACGCTCGCAACGCTCACGCTCTCAATGCCGCGATCATCCGTTCCACTAACTGCCACTAGCATGATCGTAACAGGCAAGTGGAACGATTATCTTGAGCGTTGTTAATGCTAAAACATCGCCATCGAATCACTTTCTGAACTAATTTCTTTCAACAATAATGTTGCAAAAATAGTAATGTTTTCGGCGAAAAACATTACTATTTTTGCAACATTATTGTTGAAAGAAATTAGTTCAGAAAGTGATTCGAGTTCTGATTTCTGATGAAGAATAGGAATTATTAAGAAAGGAAAAACGGAAATGCATCTTACGTCCTCGCATACAAAATGTTGAACTCGTAATTGAACTCTATTCAAATAAAGACTTTAAAAGTCATTTTAGGTTAAATATCTGGTTTTTTTAACTTGTTATATATTTATCTTGATAGAGTTTGTTATGATCGTATTAATGAATTTTATATTATAATTATGAATTAAAATGAAAATAATCATAAAAATATAAAGAATATTATATGTAAAAGAATTTTAAATATTGTGATTATTTATCTTATTACATTACCTAAAAAAAACTATTATTTGTGTTACTTTTGTAGTTGCTATTGTTGCATATAAAATACAATATTAGAGAATAATATTAGAATAATAATATAATATATAATAAAAATAATAAAAGCAAATATAACTTGTTTTTAGATTGAAATGAGTAAGGTTCGAATATATATTGCATATAATTTCGGAAGAACTTATGCGGAAGACAAAAAGAAATGAAACAATTTCACCTAGAAAACAATTTTTTATTGCCTTGTGGAAAATGGCTTAAGTCTTATACTTTATTATTGTCTTTATCATATAATGAAATCTTTTTTATTTTAACTGCATCACAATTTTCTACGTCACAATAACCAATTTCCCAAACCGCAATTATTACTAAATTAACCTCTAACTTTACATCCACTCGTATAAACGCGCCAAATTATCAGACATAATGTATTGTGGGTTAAACGCTCACGTCGACCCACCTCTTTAGCACGAACATTACGAGCATTCATTTGAACGGCCTGAAGTTAGTCACAAGCACTGCCCGATGGACATCGCGAGCGTTAAGTGGAACGACATGAAGAGCGATCCGAGAGTTGCGAGCGTTATATGGAACGCACCCTTGGAGCTCCGAGTTAAATCTCCCACTATAACACTACTCGCGTCGAACGATTGTCGGTCTTGAAACGCAATTCTAATAAACTACAGCAATATCACGAATTAAATTAATTAACAATTGAATAATTAACTGATGCACTTTTGGCATCTTATATCAATGTTAAACTATACTAAAATCTGAAACTAATAATTCTTCTTATTGTAAAAAATATTACCTGGGCCGAGGGTCGAACCCGGATCGTCTGCTTTACGCGCAAGTGTCCTAGCCAATTAGACTATCGAGGCATAAGTAATATTTCTCGCAATAACTGGTATATGTGAAGTAATAATGTTTTCTTTCAGGCACGTAAATAAACAATCTTCAATTAAAGTTCGTTTAATGTAACAACATAACTAATACGAATACAATGCCTATAACAGTTTAGTTTAGATCTTATTGTTAGTCACTTATATATAATTTCGCGTGAATTTATATACTAATATGTGTAGTCTTTCTAAACTGCGCGCCGAACGATTGTCGGTCTTGAAACGTAACTCTAATAAACTTCCGCAGTACTATCACGAATTAAATTGATTAAAAATTGAACAATTAATTGATGCTCTTTTGGCATCTTATATTGATGTTAAACTATATTAAAATCGAAAACTAATAATTCTTATTGTGAAAAATATTACCTCTGCCTTTTTAAGCAAGCAATCCGGATTCGACTTCCACTAGCCGAGGTAATATTTTTCGCAATAAAAAGAATCATTTATTTCATATTTTAATATACATAGTTTAACAACGATATAAGATGCCAAAAAATCATCAGTTAAATTAATTGTTAATCAATTTAATTCATGATAGTACTGCGGTAGTTTATTAGAGTTGCGTTTCAATACCAATAATCGTTCGACGCGACGTTTAAAAAGTCTACACATATTGTTACCGAAAAAAATCATCATAAAAATATCATAAAATGAAAAGGTCAAGTCATGTTAAAAAAAAAATACTCAAAAATTTAAACCTTTTTATCTAATATGTATATTACCACGAAAAGTAACTGATATATTAGATATACAAATAAGTTTTAATGTTTTAAAGCGTTTTTAATGAAATTTAATATTTATTTATATATATTTAGTAATGAAAACACATTTAATTATCAAAATAATCCCCGTCATTATGACCTTTAGCCATCTTTCGGGCAACTTGCGAATTTCAGAAGCGAAGAAGGTTTCGTCTTTCGATGCGATAAAATTATCCACCCATTTTCGCACTTTTTCGAATGCTCGAAAGTGTACATCGGACAAGGCATTTTGCATTGATCAGAATAAATGATAGTCTGAAAGATCTATGTTTGGACTATACGCCGAGTGCGGTAGAATTTCCCAACTAAACGCTAGCAACGTTTCCTTTATAGTTTATCAACATGAGGCCTAGCGTTGTCATGAAACAATTTCACGTTTTCCTTTACCAGTAAATGGTAATTTCGTTTGATTTCTTGATTTAAACGGATCAATTGTTGACTGTAGCGATCACTGTTAACCGTTTCATTCGGGTGGAGCAGCTCATAATATAACACA